TATTTGAAAGCAACTGTTACAAACAAAATATTATAATACAAATATTAAAAAAAAAACATTTGAATAGAAAAAAATAATATAACCATAACACAACTAGACATTCCATCCCCATTTTAAAGTTGTCGCCAGCTTTTTAATCAAATTTGTCTTAGTTGATGTGAGCAACCTACAGATTGTGCTGGTATAAATTACTGATTTCTGCTGATTACACGGCTGGTTTTTACCAAGTAAAACTAATGGAATGACTTGTAATGAACTATAGCAACTGTTATGACCCAGCAACTTCTGTACCTATCCAATACTCAATGCTATAACGATCATTTTCTTTAGGTATTTCGACAACCTGATTTGTACCATGAATCCGGGGCTCAACACTCCACTTGCAGAAATACATCCATGTCGGAAACGGTTGTTGGAAGTGGAAGACCGGCAAGTGGATCTCTCAGAATTGGTGAATAAAGTACAGCGACACACTCGCTGCTCTACCAGTTATTGTCTCCGAAAAAATAAAAGGACAAACCAATTAGAATGCCGGTACAAATTCCCATTTGACCTCAGTGACATAACCCACGTTTACACCAATGAGAAGGGAGTCATGGAACTTGTAACTAAGAGAAATGACGCGCTTCTTAATAAATATAACCCGTGGACGTTGCAGTTGTGGCGAGCCAACATGGACATCACGGCTGTCATGTCCAAAGATGCCTTCCTCAACTATATGGCAAAATATGCCAGTAAATCGGAGGTAAGAAAAAATGCAAATATAATATTTTTTACAATGACATATTCCTAAAGTTTTGTACAAGTAATGTTTGCTTAAGTATAATATATGTATATATGCTTTCTTGCACAATTATCTTAAAAAAATGTCTTTGGGTATTTCCTTCAATTGCTGAAACTCACTAATTTACTAAAATTTTAATTTGAAAACTTGTAATGAAAATTTAAACAAAGATTAACTATATAAATTTTATTATAACATGGGCTAGGTTATAAGTTTTAAAATGACACCTTGATCATAAAAATATATTAAGTAAACGGAGTAAAAAAGGATTTAACAGATAAAACCCCTAATGAATAAAAAATATACGTAAAAATTATACATAATACGATTTACTTTTAATTGCCATTATACAATGTTCATCCTTTAAAAATTGGTACCATAAGGTTTGCATAGATTTTTATATTTTAACAATATTGTTAATTTATCATTATTATTGTAGGTCAAATCTAAAACAATGGCAGAAATGTTTGAGAACATTCTAACTAAAGTAGATGACACTGAGCCCGCAAGGAAGGCTGTACAGAAGCTATTGGTGCAAACTTGTAGCGAGAGAGACTTCTCAAGCCAAGAAGTTCTCCATCTAACAACTGGGAAAAAACTATTTTCTGCATCAAGGGCTTTTGTAAAACTGAATTTCGGAGGAGGAGAGTGGATCCCTGCTAGAGTACATCAAGAGCCGACAAGTGAACATGTAGTAAGTGTATTAAATTATTAAATTACTGATCAAACAGATATAGAAAAAAAAACATAATGATAATTTTATTGATATGTTTTATCAACATTAACTGGTATAGAAAATAAATATTACATAAACCTTTTAATTTTAGGTGAATAATGTGCTTAAGAAAAGTGTTATTTAGGTTTGTCAAATGCCAAATTTTCTCACAACAACATTGATATTACGGTATTTATTTTTGTTATAACAAATGATACGATTTTTTTAACTAAGATATCTATATACAATTATTTATTGAAAAGCTATTTCTAATAACTAATCATCAAAATTATGTTAAAAAGTAAATGTTAAATATTCCACGATATGAAATTTTAAATTGAAAGTTTTAACACAAACAAACTGTTTACGTATTTAAATTAGTAACAGTTAAAAATCGTAGTTTTCACAGCAAATAAAATAAATACAATAGTTGTAATGAACACTCTTAAAAGGTCAATCATATATTTAATTTCCTTTTCTAGGATGAACACGTTAACACCTCTCTCATAGAAAAGTACATCAAACGTCCTCTGGAGTTAGAGGATGTTTCACTATGGGATGTGGCAAGTTTATTTGTTCCAAAGAGGCAAGGAGCGTGGACTCGTCGTCGTGTCCCAGCCATTGTTAGTGTCTTCCCTCGAAGGAAGATAACCTCTGATCCTTCATTGAGGGAGGCCTTCTTTCGACAGGAAGTGCTCCTTAAGGTCCCTTGGCGAGATGAAAATGTAGCAAAAGGTATTACAATCTATATAACCACAGTCAATAATCATGATAATTGTAATCACCTAAATTTTAATGTTTTATATAGTACTAGCAGAGTACCTGTCCTTTGTACGGGGTTGGAATACAAGTTAGAATGCTCATTGTAGTTAAACTCGTGCTTTGCGTCTGCAAAGGGAGAGGAAAATGTTTGAATATTTGGTTATTTTAATTAATAGCATGATATAGTATAGCACATCTACAATAGCCATAATGTTCCATTTCTGCCCCTGAACAATAAAAAAATTGAAATTCTCATTTTTTAGAGCTTTTTGATGCTAACTGAATACAAACCCAGCAGCACAATATACACCCAGCACCTGAGCACAATATACAAAAGAAGTGCAATGTCTTTGTATAAAATTCGGTCTTGAAATATTTGAATTTTGGATGGGTTCAAATTAGATGATAATTCAAACTAATAGTGCTGCACCCTGTTGATATACCTTAATAACTTATAACTTATAACTTTTTAATGCTATTTAATATCATAGAACCAACTTCTGTAGTTGAAACAGTCAACAAAATTATTTTGTTTCTTTTAAATGGGAATACTCATGAGGTTAACATGGGAAATTACAGATCCACTGGGGCTTCGCCCAAAAGTATTTTTGAGATAAGAATAGTCTATATGTTAATCGGGAATGTAAGCTATCATCACACCCAATTTCAGCCCAATCCAATCAGTATTTTTCGCAATTACTTGTCACAAAAATCAATCCAACCATACATATATCCAAACAGTCTCACTTATATTATTATTAGGATAGAATTTATATATTGCTACATTCACATCAAACCTGAATTGTTAGTCATGCTTAAATGCTCAACTATGTATTTTAGAATTCTATTAAAAAATATTAACAGAATGCTATTAATATTTGAAAATGGACAACATTTTCATATCTATTTAACACTCAGTGGTTAACTGTCATAATCAGTCGCTGATCTAAGAGTTAAAAACCAACAGTTGAACCAAGATTTAGGGGAAGCTTTGTATGATTTATTTATTAGAAGTAAATGAATGATTACGTTTGATGGAAAATCTGTACTTGTATAGATTTATTTTAAGCTCAATATTTTGAAAATCGGTTGGGTAGAAGCCAAATGAACTAGGAAAATAAATTACCAATCTCCAATAAGAAATGTACAAGGAGGAAGTTGCTTTTGAGCATAAATATTTGTCAGATAATTAATGCCAATACTTGATTGCAAATCTGTACGTGTATACCTTTAATTCATGGTCAAAATTATGAAAATCAGCCGGGTAGAAGGGCCGAACCACCTTGGAAAAGAAAAAACCAATAATTTTTAATATATAGGTTTGAGTTAATTTTAAATATTATCATTTATTTGCTTCTTTAAAGTGATTCTATCTTCGTATTTATTGGTTTATATTTAAATTAATAAAACCGTCCACAGTTGTCTTACTTTCTAACCTCAATATTCAAGTATACGGTACTCAATTTTATCCAAAGTTTGCGGGATTTGAGGTAACCACGGTCCCAAAGACTTTCGATAATCGAGAGTGTTACTGTACTCGTACATTATGATAAAATAATTTTGAGAGTCACGGTTACGGTGTAGCTGATTAATTAATGGAAAAACATTCAAAATCCTATTTAAGAGGTCTTATTTCAATATATAGATTTGTATTGCAGTATATTGATTATATCTCGCAATATCAAACTACTGTGCATGTTTAACTACTTAATTTTGGTAGCTACAAAAATGCAGAACTTCTTTTACCAATTTTGTTTCTGGGTATAGAAAAAACTAATTAGTAGTTCGTTTATACTAAAAATGATAGATGTAACTAATTGTTAATCTCATTTTTATCACATTGTTATAGGTACTTTTCAGTCATGGGAAGAAGCATACAATTTCCTCCAAGTTCAAAGAAATCCATCTCTGGATATTCCAATTCCTGATGACGACTATGAAGAAATTCCAGCGTCGCAGGAGGCAATTCCTGGAGACGAATGGATTGCTGTATCAAAAAAAATGCCGAACGGAGGTGTTGATCAAGTAGAGCCTGGGAGGCGCGAAATTGATGTTCAATACAACTGGAACGCCTCATCAGCAATATTTGATGTTTCGGCTCTTCTCAGGAAGCATTTGGAATCCTGCAAACGACTTGACATCGAAGTTCCGGAGCAACAGTCCACTTCCATAGAATTGAATGCAGAGCAGCGCCAGGTGATAAATTAATTTAAACATTGAGTTTTCATAAAACTTCATTTTCAATTAAAATGAAATGTTCCAATTAATTAGAATTACAGTAATATTAATATTATTGTAACAATGTACAGTGCCATGGGTAAGATACTATCTGCGATAAAATCCTTTGATTAAAACCCTTAGAGAAATGGATCCTTGAAAAATTGCTTCATTATTTCTGACAGTAAATAATATAAAGATTTATTTCTTAATTAATAGTATCAATTTGGTTCATAGTTACCACGAGAGTGGTGAAAAAAAATCAATACTAAGAAAACATGGATTAGCTGAAGTTGGGTTGATAATTTTATTGTTTTATGACTTTATGTTAAATTGAAGTGACTAAATTCCAAGGTTTCCAGTAACCACTGACTGTAGATGATAAATTATAAATGTGTAACATAGTGTTTTTTAAAATTTTCCCCTTAATGTTTTATTTATTATCAATCACATAAAAAACATTTTTAGGTTTTGGCCATTCTTGATAGCCAAATAAGTGCAGAGCTGCATGGATCCCCTAATGATGCCATTCAGTTGGTTATCATACAAGGGAAAGCCGGGTGTGGCAAAAGTACAGTCATTAAGTCTATGACATCTCGCCTGAAAGAAACTCCTGGCCTGGGTAGTGCTAGCTATCTGTTGCTCGCCCCCACAGGGTCTGCTGCCCTAAACATCAACGGTAACACGATTCACGCTGCTTTGAGCATACCAGTCAGGACGTCAGGTTACAGACCTCTTGAGGGAGCTGCCAAGAAGAGGTGAGATAAAAAAATTCAATGGATTTGCCTAAATTAACTCAATATATCATAGATTATTGTACAGAAAAATTGTTTGGATATTGATCAATTTATACTTAGTTTAAAATTAAATATAAGCATCAAGGGTGATTTAATTAATTCATAACATTGATAAAAATATACCTTGAAAAAATCAAAAACTATTAAAAGTTTAAGTAAACGGATTTTATACTTTTAACCATTGAATTTTGATTTAGGGAAAAAATCAACTTAGTAGTAAGTGTAGGTTAGTGTTATATTTCAATTATGTACTGAGAAAATCAACAGTGGTAAACACATTACTTTGTCCCAATGTTTATATGACCCAATAATGGGGGAAAAATAAAATAACCTCCTATTATTTAAACATACTGTACATTAATAATATCAGTTAATATAATATTATAGCTTTATGTATATTAAATCTACTATATTATGGCCTAAATCCGCCGATTATAAATATCTGTGTCACATACCTGCGTACTCTATTCCCAATAAAATGCTATATCTTACTTATTTCTTAATAAATGTTGATAAAACTCGGTATGTAGCTTCATATAGTTGAGATCTCCTTTGCTATGGTTTAAAATCCCTGATATAGCAAATAATAAGCTATAGCCCCAGGCAAAAATGATCGAGTTTTGATGAAATTTGGAACGAACTACAAACGTTTAAACATACATTTATTCGAACGAGTTTGCGAACCAGCATGATTGGACTAAGGGAAAAGGGGTTCATGGAAGGTTTTGTGGAGTAAACATTGGATTTCCCAATTTTCAACCCTAAAAACAAAAAAATTAGCAATTTTTTTTAAAACCATTAAATAGAATAAAAAAAAACAAATAACTTAAGTTGGTGTTTTGATAATTGTCATGCGCTTAATGGTTATGCGAGAAAAATTAAAAAGCTGTAATCATATGGAGCATAAATAAACAAATGTAGTTTGCTGTTTCATAGATATATTTTGATAAAATTTAGCATATAAATTTACTTTTCCCTATAGGCCCTACTATAAACATTTAGTTAAATTACCTCTTCCCTTCTCTGTAGCAGCAAACCTAAGAACTCGTTAAACTATGTTATTTAGATATTGAAAATTAATAATGTCTTTTTAATGAGATATCAACCAGGCAAATGCAAATTTGCTTAATCTGCAAATTTGCTGCAGTGGTGGTATTTATATTACGTTTACGTTCAACAAAATAAAAAATTAAATAAATGCTTTACAGATTCCTTGAAGACATGGATAAGATCCGTTTCATCATCATCGATGAGTATTCGATGATAGGACTTTCACTTTTTGGGATGATAGAGCAAAGATGTGCAGAATCCAAGCCTCAGTGTAACTCTCAGGTAGTAATTTATATAAAAGTTTTATAATGAATTTTGTTTTTGGCATTTACTAATAACATATCACATTGAAAAATTATTATTCAGTTTGAACTATTGTTATTACTCTCCTCAGCCCTATATTGAGTTATACACAGGTTTGGAACTATTGTGATTAAAAATTTTTTTCCACCTTCTAACACAAATTTTTTTTAAAGTTCAAAATCTTGTTTTTTAATTAAATAAAGAAAATATCAGAAAATATAAGAAAATATATTTTGTGTACCAGAGGTAGAAATGATTAACATTTTAGTATTAGGATTGCATTCTTTTTCTCAATTCTGAAAAAATAATATTATTTGAGAATTTTTTGGGTTTAAGTGAAATTTAAAGCTCTAATTGTAGTACAATATTAATTACCCATATAGATTGCTTATGGATATAAAATAAATCTAACCAAACTAGCTGACCTTGTTTATAATTATTTATTAATTTTTAGATTTTTGGAGGGATTCGTATCTACCTCATAGGAGACATCAGACAGCTACCCCCAGTTGCAAGCAAACCACTCTATTCCCCATCAGCGAAGAGTGAACTTGAAATAAAAGGAGCATTTGCTGTGTCTCAGTTCCAACATGCTGTTGTCTTGACTCAGTCAATGAGACAGACTGATAACACCTTTAGGTAAGCCCATGATTTAGATTAAAAAAAACTTTGACAATTATTATTATGGCATTTCATAGTGTAAATATTGAATTATGGCTAAATTGAATAATATTAAGTATTTCATACTAGCGGCTGACCCCATGCCTTGCAACGGGATATAAAGCCCTACTTTATGGACAATACCTACTTGAAACATTTTAGTTAAACTGAAACAGCTACTTACATATTAGTAAACAGATTTCTGTGAAGCATTCTGTGGAAACAGTGTAGCACTATTTCAAATTATGACTAATGCAGAATTTTGTGATTATTCAAACCTACAAAACAGTTGGTGAATGTAACCATATGCTTAAATTATATTTACTTGTAAACATTGTCATTCCAAAAGTCTGACACTGGACCACTTAAAAATCTCTGGGTTTCGGGGTCCATATGTCATATACATACAAACGCACTTCGTCTTTTGTAGATGTAGATTTCGGCACCAGCATGGCAACCTATAAGGCCCATGTCATTTATTTTAAATTAATTTTATGTGCTTATTTTTGCCTTTATCATTAAAGAGATTCTGCACATCTACAGTAGAATATCTTTCTAACAATATGCGTAGATGTTCCCTTCGATGCAAAAAAAAAAAAAAAATAATAAAATATAAAGAGATTTTCTTGCCTATTAATATATAGATGATATGTATTAATAGTATATAATTTCATGTATACTATGGAAATTCTTAATTTTTTAATGTGTATGTCATATAAGCATTTCATATATAAATATACTGTGACTCTTTACTAAAAAAATAACATAGGTAGTTTTGAGAACAACAATAAACCATTACATAATTTATAATTATTTTTTATAGGCAAGCCCTTGACGAGGTTGCCAGGGGTCGTTGCACGGTCGCAACATATGCAGTTTTCAGTAATCGTTTTTATATCAACTTGACGGAAGAAGAACGACGAAACTTCAACGATGCCATTCACATCTTTTCCCTGAGAATGACGGCTAAAGCTTTCAACCTAAACCGACTACTAGGCCTGCATTCCCCAGTAGCTCGCATCCCTGCTAAACACAACAACTTGGTGGCAAGTCAGGGAACTAGCGATGACGCTGGAGGTCTCCAGAAGGTGATCTACCTCGCGGAAGGAGCTTTAGTTGTGCTCAAGGCCAACTTGTGGGTGGCTTCTGGGCTCGTCAACGGCGCCATCGGCGAAGTCGTGGCAATTGTATATGAGTCTGGAAAATCCACCCCAAATGATCTACCAATAGCTGTCATGGTGAATTTCGCCAATTATTCTGGACCGAGGATGCAGCGAGATACATTTCCGATCTCTCCGATAATAAGATCATGGAAGAAAGGAAATGCAACTTGCACAAGAGAGCAGATTCCTTTGGATCTGGCTTGGGCAAGCACAGTCCACCAATCTCAAGGCCAAACATACGACCGGGTAAGTTGTCATTTGATTTTAGGCGGAATATAAATTATTATTCTAAAAATAAATAGCTATAATGTATTTTTATTATATACATGACGTTAATACTATGGCAATTCTTCAATGGGTTCATATTTAAAGGCAATAGTATTTATCAATCTACAGTTACGTTTGCATTTAATTTGCTAGGTTCGTATACCTAGACAATTCCATATACTATAATTACTATAATTTATGGTGCACGTCCAAATAATTTCAAACATTTACAGTTTGATTTGCTATTTATAATTCCTGTACCTGCTTTATAAATCCGTTAAAATATACCAACATATATTAAGTTTCCATTTCAATATATAAATAAATTACTTTTATTATTTTTCAATCATCTAAATTTCAAACATTAGGGCCTGGATAAGGTTTGCCAGAGTGTATTTCAATAGCAAAAATAGGTCTATGTGTTGTTTACGAGTAATAACAATCTACATATATAAAACCATGTAAAGTTTATCAAAGAATCTGTTTAATTTCCAAACAAGAAACTGACTTATATAATATAAATGAAATATGTAAAATTTATCGTAAAATATTTAAAATCATACCTCCTCAACTGAGCTAAATCAAAATATAATCGACAAGTCTATAAAACCCCCATTTTATTGAATTTCCCTTATGGACAAGAATCTATTACCATAGGTTGTGTGGTAAGCCTTTAAGATTGAAACCGTTACACATATTCGTTTTGAAGCCCCTATATGCCAAAAAACACTATTAGTTCATTTTAATATGTATATGACTGTATATATATTGTCAGTCAGCACAATAGTAATAAAGAGAATAGTTTGTTAAAATTTTAAACATCTAAAATAACAGATGCTTAGAGATTCAACTTTCTAACAGAAAAGTTAAAATGAATTATTTGGTTTTCATGTAATACTTTTAAATTATTATTAGGTTGTCGTGGACTTGGGGCGTACAGAGTTCACGATCGGTCTCTCCTACGTTGCTCTCTCACGCTGCAAGACGTTGGATGGATTGGCAATCAATCCACCATTTATCAGAAAACGACTGGATGATTTGCATCATAAGAATTCTTTGAAGGTTAGCACTTTTGTGACGAAATAAGTATACTTAATATACAATATACATTAATTAATATATTTCCAATTAATAAAATAGAATGATACTGTAATTTTTTTTATACTGTACTTATTTCCCCTCATATATAGATTACAAGTTTAATCCGTATTTGGTTAATTAATTGAATAAAATATTCTCCCTAACTGGGTTATGTTCCTTTTTGGTTGTGTTTTTTAATGCCAGGGTAGTTGTGATGAAAATATTTAATTCATTCAATAGCAATGGATGAATTTGATTAATTAAAATTATAGGCTTATATATCTGTTGATTCATATATTCTTGATTTTTTATCTTATAAAAAGCTAGCAGCAACCAAATTTTTGAACAGGACAGTTGACCTTAATTATGGGAAAATTGAATTTACATTCAAATCAATATTATTTTTATTCTCTTCGAAATGTCAAATTGTAGTTTCTACATATATATATTTGAATGTTTATATTCCCCTAAAACTTAGATATTGCAAGTACGTTAATGTAGCATCTGAAAAGATTTCATGGAAGTGAATACCTATTTGTCTACAAACAAATTCCAAATCTACCTTTGTGTAAAATTTCAGCCTAAGTTAAATTGTACGTATGTTTTAAACATGTATAAAACTTAGCATACATCCGATCCAAACAAAAATACAGAAATCAAATCGTGGTCATAATATTATAGATATAAATAAACTATTTTCGAATTTTATAAACTTAATAAAGAGTAACATTTTTAATTAAAATAATCATTAAAACAAGTAGGTACCTATTTAAAATAAATATAAATATAGCAAGTTTATTATACTTTCATTACCTATCAAAATGAATTTTTTGTGGAATGACAATCTCAAACCCCCAAGATCACGAAATATTTTAAAAAATAATAAGAATGTAATAAAGTTTTATTATATTGCAATATTTTACCATCAGGACAAACTGCAAGCAGAGGGTAACATCATGAAGATGGCTCAGGGTTTGCCCTTTCGGTTGTCATCATTTATACCTGTGAGGTGTCCACAACCACCTGCACCTGCTCCATCCCCACCACCTGTACCTGCTCCACAACCACCACCTGCACCTGCTCCACCATCACCACCTGTACCTGCTCCACCACCACCACCTGCACCTGCTCCACCACCACCACCTGCACCTGCTCCATCCCCACTTCACCGACCCAAGACTCCTGCTCCACCAAAACCTTCTGCACTGCGGGAAGAGACAGTCAGAGTACACGAGGGAATTGTGACCGTTGTCGTGATGCCCGGCGACGGTCATTGCCTCTTCTCAGCTGTCCTTCACCAGCTTGGACTCTCTTCCCCCATTAACCCCAATCATATGGAATTTGTCAAAAATTTACGAAAAAGGGTTGTGGAGTATATTCGTCAGCAGGACTTGCATTCCGGTACATAAATATAACAATCAAACTAAATATACTGTAATATGTATTTAAATTAGGTAAAAAGAAATAATTAGCTGAATCCCTAGCCACAATTCAAATTCAAATGCGACCACTAATAAAAATGCAAAATATTATATAAATACATCCCTTGCAGCAAACCTGTATAGTCAGCGAACTTTAATTGATTGAATTGATAATTTAAATAAATATTCAAATCAAGTTTTGTCATTGTATGTTCATGAAAAAAACGTACAGAAAAATTCCCTAAAATAATAACAAGCTGCTAACAAAATTCAAAACACCCCTGTTTTAGCAAACCTGCAGTATACATGAATTTCTATTTGCCTGTTTTAATTTTCAATTCAATCTATTTAAAACACATTAGGTTTAACAATTACCTAGGTTTACTGCTACAAGCAGGGTAAAAAGGTGTATTGTTAGTAAAATATTAATAGCTTAAATTAAATAGTATAATTATATTATTATTAATAGTATAAATTAAACAAATATACCAAGTTTGATCAAAATTTTTTGATAAACAAGCAAACCATAACAGTTTTACTTATTCTCAGCAAAATAACCTTTAGAGTTTTAAAGAATTTTTTTAAAAATTTTATCCATAAACAATATTAGTAAATAAAACTTCAATATAGCACATTAAATTAATTTATTACTAATTATTTACTTAAATAACTAATTAATTATTACTTAATTTATTTATTTAGTCTATTAAGAATAGTTTGTAAAGAAATCGGATTTTTTTAAATTTGAAGGTCAAAAATTAGAACCCCCACTTTTACCTTATTCAACCCCTTTAAAACCCCATTACCAAGGTCCGATCATGCTGGTTCAAGAACCTGTACAAAATTTTATCAAAATCATATTAATTTTCCTCGAGATATTGTGCCAACGGGCACACATACTTAGGGAAATTCGCTAAAAGGGAATTTCATGGTATAATTCAACTCAACTGCATCAAACATCATACCAAGTTTTAAAAAATAAGGAAGAACTTTTCTTTATTTTCTATTAGGTCATTGAGACAGTTTACTGTGTTTACCTTTATCAATATCCTGTTGCCACTCGACAATAAACTTGAGTTTTTCTCTAATTTATTCAATTATAGGGCACACACAGATATTACAAACAATAAATAGATTATGACATACACATCTTGATTTTAGCAAATTTCCCTATAGAAAAGCCAGAAGTAGCTAATACCGTAAGTGGGATGATAAGACCTGGGTCCGGGACCGATTTACTCTTTTATTTTAATGTCCCCAAAGGCCAAAAACACCATTCGTTTGAATTATATATAAATTTATATATGTATATACATATAGATTTAAATATATATATGCGTACGTGAACATGATAACTATTTTTTCAGATCTTGATGAAATTTGGTTTTAAGTGTAAGGTGGGATAAACTTGAATAGGTTTGCCGATCTGCATCATCGGACCATGGGAACGGGAGTTTATGGAGTAAAAATTTAGTTTTGCCACTTTTACAATATACCTTGTTATATAAAAAAATCAACAAACTTCGAAAAAACAAAATGCAATTATATAGAAATTTTATTTGATAAAATTAAATTTAATATAAATAGGGCTAATCAACATTAAACCTTAAGTATAACATTATTGTATCAATATTAAATAAAATTACTTAAAATTATTAGGTTTAATAAAAGTTTAATGTTACAGGCCTTTGGCGCGCACAGCTAGAGGACTCTATAAGTGCCAACTTGACGAAATATCCAGCAGTGCGAAATGGAGTTATTGTTCCTTGGGAGGAAAGGTTGAATTGCTTCCTGGAAAATCTTTCTGTAGACGAGTGGGGTGGCACCGAAACCATTGTGACCATCGCTCAATTGCACAATATAACACTTACAACATATTTCGAAGACGGTGGTGATGGTTTTCGGTGTCAAAGGATCATCTCAGGGGGGGAGAGTGATAGGGAAATTGCTATAGTGTACCGGCTCGCAGCTGTTAGGGGATGTGCTGGCCCTGTGAGTCGAGTGCACTATGACAGTTTAATTTGTTTTAATTAAGTTAGTTTGTATATACGTATATTTTAAACTATTTATATATATATTTTATTTTTATTACTTATTGCTGTATTATTATTTTTGTAATTTGGTTAAATAACCAATATTAAACATTAATTGCATAATTTCACTACAATCATTTTATTTCAGTTTAAAAGTTTCAAATTCATTGGCAATTTCAAATTACTTGTAGCTTTCAAAAGTATGGAAAATGGTATTTCCAATTTGAAGTACTGTAATGTGTTACAAAATCAAAAGGTTATAGCTAAAATTTTATGAAATTTCTGAACACATTGCCATTTTCAAAGTAAAGAACAATCCATAATTGTCAAGCAATATCGCTACAATGTAAAGTAATTAAAACAAATGACTCCAGATTTGAAAATAATGACTTAAGTTTTATTTGAAATAAGAGGAATAATATTACACACACTTGAAATCTTAGTAGGCCTATTTATGCTCTTACTGTACATAAGGGTAAAATTGTAAGAGTAAAATTGTGTTAATAAAATAGTTTGTAACATACTCATTTTACGAAATCCTGAATTTTTGTGAAAAATTATTATTCCAAGTTCTTTATTCCTTGACAAATTGATATAACCATTGACAACAATTAATAAACGGTTACGATATTATATTATTCTTTGTTTCAAAATAATTATCTATGTGTGTGTATATTATGAAAGAAACATATACAAAAATATAAAAATTGTTGTACTAATGCACATTAAAATAACTATTCTGAGTTCACTCATCCCGTTACGCGCAGAATAAGCGTACTCCTAGTAAAATAGTGACAACATGACAGTTAAAATTCAACAACGTGTAATGGAATTAAAAGGCAAACAAAAAAGTCTTACAAAATATGAATTATTGGCCTAGCACTGAAAGGGTTAACACTTAAATCAGTATTTGTTTGTGTTAAACACTTATTTGGAAAACTGAAATATGAAACTGACTTGGAAAAGGATATATTGTCACTTATTTATGATAATTAAGACAGTAAATAGATGAGTCGGTGGAGTGGTGGTGCTGACTTCGGGCCCAAAGCAGCAATGTCGTGGGTTCGGATCCTGGTCACTGCCACTACCTTTATTAGTATAGTTCACCCTTGCATTGTACAGGCTCTCCCCTTGCCTAGGTCTTGGTCTAGGTGCGTTCCACGCACAGGCCCATATCCTATGCAAGGTTAAAAAAAAACCGCCAACCTCTTAAAAAAATTAAAGAATTTTCACTGGTTTTAGATTTTGACTATTAGAACTGGCCATTAAATAACTTCTTGATCAGCATTGTACGTGTTATTAAATTTACAGGAAGTAAATAAGAAATGTCTTATAACACTTAAAACGTATATTTACCGTCTTGTGAGTAACAGTATAAGTGTAAATATATGTTTTAAATCTTATAAGACTTTTCTTTACTTTCCGTAACTGGCCATTATCAAGCCCAATTTGAGAACTATACTTGTAGGCCATTAAGTTTGAAAACCACTCCACCGCTATTGCTTGTCTCCATTAAATGCTTCTCATGGAAGTTGTTTATAAAAGGTTATAACCATTAACAAGCTAAACAACAATGTATAAACTCTAATACCTACATTGAGTAAAATGTTTATTTCAGGCAATTACCCAGTTGGACAGGAGATGGACTACAGAACAGCCAAGGATCGTTTCACCTCTGAAGAAGCTCGCACTCTCGATCGGCTTCATAATGATATCTACAATGAAGCCAGGCATGCTGCAGAGGCTCATAGGCAGGTAAGGAGAATCGGAGGATTGTATTTTCAGAAGGTATTTTTAGAACTATAATTAAAGAGCAGGACTTGTAACTAATTATCAAGTTTGCGTTGATAATTTCTTGCTAGATTGTATGTTTAATTCAGTCCTTAAACATCTAGGGCTGCAGTAAAACATTAGGGGCACACAATGTTTTGATTTTACAAAACTGCTTCCAAGATCTACTTTAATCTCTCATTTTTCATGGTCAATAAGATCCTCTCTAATCAAGGTCTTATGGTTTTTACAATTAAAAATGTGTTCAAAAGGTACCTATTTTAAAAGAATATTGTCTCCAGAGCTTCTGGTATAATTCATCAATTTTATTTTTAATAATCATTCCTACAAGAAAATTCCAGAGAACAACATTAGTTTAAGTAAAAAATGTTGTGAAAGAACCCATTTCATATTTACTTTTCTTGTTAATAACGTTTTCTGAAGATTTCTATTGATTTTCATCAATAGTCAAGCTCAAAAATTCTAATTTAAGAATTTTCTTTGATATTAAATACCTGTAGGCTAACTCACAGAAGAGTAGGGCCTACATTTCTGGTATAGGAAAACATTTCAAAAATAGGTAATTTTATAATTAGATTGTATTAGTTTTAGTAGGTGGTCAATGTATTAAAAAATAAAAGTAGCATATTAAAATTGTTCAAGCAACCAATTTAATTTTTGTTTATGACTTTCGACAGATTAACTAATCTTCTCCTATCTTGACAACATCAAGAACCCAGTTAACTTCTAGGATCTATGTTTGGGGAAAATAATGTAACAATTAAACCTGTATTTTATATGATAAGCTGGAATGAGTGAGTCTCTGAACTGGTGCGACAGATTGTTGTGTGTGATTCTACTTAGGCCTAGTCATTGTATTAAAAGTGTAAAATTAGGTCAGCTATTTATTGAGATTAATTTAGGCTACGTTGGACAAGAGGATTTGTCTGTTCTAACTTCATATTTTGGTTAATTGAGATATTTTACTTAATTGTTTACAGACCAGGAAGTACATACAGAGCTGGGTGAAACCGGGTATGACAATGATCGAGATATGTGAAGAACTTGAGAAGACTGCTCGTGCTCTGATTGGAGAGAACGGACTGAAGGCTGGCCTAGCGTTTCCTACGGGCTGCTCCCGCAACCACTGCGCAGCGCATTACACTCCCAACGCTGGAGACACAACGGTGCTGCTGTACGATGATGTTACCAAGTTTGACTTTGGAACTCATATCAATGGTAAATGCAGTTCTTATTCTCTTGCACTCTTGCTGTAGTAGGGATTTTTAGATTATTAAAGAGTAAGCAGGTATCTAAAGCCAGGTTTTCTCAGGCGTAGAGCAGCAATTTCAATAGCGGACTGTTCCTCTTCCGCGCCTGGGAAAACCCAGCTTTACCTTAGTCTTTGTCTATACCTTGACAAAGTACCCCAGGGCACAAAATAGGTAATGTATGTTTTTTGTGTGTATTATGACCTACCTGGTATTTTTTCTGCAGTATGTTACAACGCCTCGAACATTCCCAACCAACCTAAAATTATTTACAGGGCTTTTAACAGGTTATTTTTTTTATTTTTTTTGCTCTTGGTTATTTTTTGTTATTTTTTTGGAACTTGGTTATTTTTTTTTTTTTTTTTGGAATTTTGGCTATTTTTTTATTTTTTTGGGGGATTTTGGTTATTTTTTTATTTTTTAGGGCAATTAGGTTTTTATTGGTCAATTTTGATGAAGCTCGTAAAACTTTTAAAACTCATGAAATGCCCCCAATAAAGAGGGGTAGGATTAGTAACATAAAACAAAATGAACATAGATTTATACTCTTGTCTTTGTACATTTGATTCTGTATATAAGACCTGTGACTTTATACATATTTGTATGTGTACATATTGTTATGCTATTTAAAATTAACAATTTGTTTAAATAATTAATACCTGTTTTATTTGGTTTATGATACTTGTCAACCTGAACTGAGGGGGAAATATCCCGCTCAAATATCTCAAATTGTTTCCAAAAAAAGGATAAACCTAATAATTAAGAGCTATGTTTGACTTTGATGTTTTATTCAATATATATTTTTAATTTGACGTTAACATTTATCTAAGTAAAAAATGTTAGTATTAAGATATTAATTATATTTGTTTTTGTATTTTTTGTCTAAATAAATGTTTAAAAAGGAAAAAAATGGAAAAAAGTAAGGGGAGGATGGGAGGACTTTTTTCTATTTTTTCATTTTTTTATTATTATTGCCTTAGTAGATTATCACTTACCTAGTTCAAAATTATCCTGTCATTTTTATTGCCTACATATTTTTAATATCCCAATACAATGCCGGTTTTTGTAATTTTTAGCGACATTTTGAGTTTATTGAAGGTTATTTTTTGGTTATTTTTTTATAATTTTGGTTATTTTTTATTTATTTTTACCTCAAGAACTGTTACAAGCCCTGTATTTATCTACTTTCTGTAATAGATACGTTTTCTGTAAGAATATTATTTAATGTGAGGGTTAATGATTGTTGTTGCAAAAGCAGGCTAACCTGAATGAGTAAGAGTCCATCATGCATTACAAAAATTACTGCAACTCTACTGTTGGGGATAAAATATATGACATGGCACAAGAGCCTATATTTGGAGAATATTTGCCAAAATAATATTTGGCTTACCCTGCATGGGAACAAGCCTACTCTGACCCAAGAAACATACGTACAACTCTTAAAAATATTTACAAAAATTAGAATACCGCATTTCACTGATACAGACAGCATTTTAAACCAAGAAGTATTTGAGCTATTAACTAAGTTGAGCAAAATCTCCTTTTTATCAGTTTAAAAAAAATAAATGTCTGGTATTACAGGTTCAACCGATTATATCTTTGTTTAAGGTCGCATCATTGATTGTGCTTGGACCTGCACTTTCAACCCCAAGTATGACAAACTGATAGAAGCTGTTAGAGATGCTACCAATACTGGAATTAAGGTAATTTTTGTGTGGAAATTGGCTTTCAACGATTTAACAAATAAACTAGTGAGTGAAACAAACTAGTGTATTTTATTATTATATGCTTATAATAATAGAGTCCAGCTATTCCAAACTAAGTGGATCGAACCCTTTTCGGATTAGCGGGAACTAAGAATAAGCTGATTTATTCAATAGTTGAACCATAGCTGATGTTCATGGTTTTGCTGTGACGATGATGAAATTACTTTTTCTTATATAAAGTATCTATTTTATATGAAACTTTTAATACCGTAACTGTTTCTTCAAAGTTGTGTGGCATGTTTTATAAACAAATTACTTATATATACATATTACCATCAGTTAGAAGTTATTTTCTCTTGACATTTTTCATGGTTAAGATTAATGCTTTCCTTTAAGTTAAATGTGACGATTGAGTTCTTCAAACCTTTTGCTCTCATACTAAAACGTGCTCTGCAGGTTGCTGGTATAGATGTTCAGCTATGTGAGATAGGAGCCGCCATTCAGGAAGTGATGGAGTCGTATGAGGTTGAGATTGATGGTAAAACTTACCAAGTCAAGTCAATCAGGAACTTAAATGGACACTCTGTTGCTCCTTATCGTAAGTATCCAAGGGAATACCCCCACTGCAGCAAGCCTGCAAACTAAGTAAATTTCAATATACCTTAGGCCTATATGATTTTCACTAAGATATTTCCGTAAAATGTTCTTTTTAAATTAAATTATTTTCTATGAGTAATTAGGTTTACCTACTACACGGAAGGTAATAAAGTGTGTTTTTAATAATATGTCTGAAAAAAATTTTTAATAAAATAAGCAAAACTCGATTAAAATAAGCATAATAATGAGCAAAATACAACAGTTATTATTCTCCATAAGAATAACTTATGGGGGGGGGGGGAATACTCCGTAACCATATAGCATACAACAACACTTCAATACCATTATTTGTTTTTTACCCTCTACAATAGTTATTTGTGCAACTAGTGAGAAAAGTGAGCAATTGACTCACTCGAGAGAAATCCTTACTCACGAGCCGTAGGCGAGTGAGGAATGGTTTCTCGAGTGAGGCAATTGTACTTTGAACTCGAGTTGCACATTATACTTTTCCTACAGTTACCATAAAACAAATAAATTGGCGAAGAAACATAACCTATTTTTACACAGAAGTGAACTTTTAGGGTGACGAGCACCAAACAGGAGAAAGTCAAACTAATATAGTATATAACTAAAGTAGTAGGAAAATAGTGACTTCATTTGCTACATACACTATTTTAGTATTCTAACTTCAGGAGTGTTTTACTCCAGGAGTATTGTAGATTACTCTTCAGAGAAAATTTAAGGTTGGTGTGCACCAGTGTATAGTTGTGTACTAGACTAGTAAGCTAATGATAAATTTGTGCTAAAATATACTCCTACCCCCTAGTAGGTGTAAGTTATGGAGTATTTCGTTTTAAATAGGGTTAACCATGTATATTGTTTTCAGTAGATTATATTTTAGCGAATTTCCCATATAGGGAATAAGCTATTACCGTAGTACTCACGGTAAGACCTGGACCCGGGACCGATTTTTTTTTTTCGTTTTGAGGTCCCTAGAGGCCAAAAACACCATCCGTTCAAATTCATATATATATATATTTATATATATATATATATGTGTCCGTTAGTGCGATAACTCGAGCAAAAATGATCCGATTTTGATTAAATTTGGTACAAGTGTGTAAACCTACGTTTATTCGAACGAGTTCGCGAACCAGCATGATCGGACCATGGGAACGGGGGTTTATGGGGGCTTTTATGGGGTAAAAATGGGTTTTTCCCATTTTTGACCCAAAAAACATAAAATTTTGCAATTTCTTTCTAAACTATTTTGTAGAGCTTAAAAAAACAAATTATTTAGTGTATTGAAGCGTTATAATGCACCAAATGGTTACGGAGAAAATTCCAAAAAATTGTAAATTTAAAATGCCCATGTTATTCTTACGGAGAATAAGTAAACTGTTGTAGTTTGCTTGTTTATAAACATATTTTGCCCAAATTTGGAAAATGTTTTTATTTCTTACTAACTATTAACATTTTACATAAAAAACACTTTTACCCTCCCTGTTGCAGCAAACCTAAGTTTGTGTAAAACTGATTCTATATAAATAGGGAATAAATGTGATATTTTTAAGGAGACATTTTAGTATAAATCCATTCAGGGAAATGGAAATTCGCTTAGTCTGCAGGTTTGCTGCGGCGGGGGTATTTATGTTAACCATGGATTATGCTGAATAGGCCTACATAGACTATTTATTGAATGCACCAAATGCAGTACGGTTCGTGATAAGAGAGACCCAATTGAAATATTAATTACCTATTATTGTTTAATTAGTAAAACAAAAATAAACAAAAAAGTAGAAACTAATTTATACATGAAATACTTTTTTAAAATACCACGTTTTTAAACGCCCTAAAAAGTAGAAAATAATTTTAAATATATGGAGAGAATAAATAATACTTGTAAGATTTAAAACGAAAAACGTGGGGCGCATGTAATAGATGATAATAAAGAGGGGGTAGCTGTCGATTTGAAACAAATAAATTAACACAGTACATCGTGTATGTATGATTTACATCTATATTTCCTAATTCAGGTTAAAAATAGCTAATAATAATTCAATCTGTGAAGATAATCGTAAATTAGATATTGCATGTGCCCTACGTTTTTCGTTTTAGACCTTACAAGGTCTAAAACTATTCTCTCCGCATATTTATAAATTAATATTTAAATATTAATTTTATAATCAAAATTATAAAAATAAATATAAAAAAGATAAAATTAAATGAAAATGAAATAATTAAACAAATTAACTATTTGAACACGGAGGTTTTAACAATAAAAATCTATTTTCAACACAAAACTCTTGAAGCTTAATACTAATTTGCACAAAACACAAATAAATATTGCAGTATTTCTATATTTTGAGGTTATGTACTGTGCGGGACTGCACAACTAACAGAGTATTCACAGAAACTACAGAAGTTTCAACTAAAGAAGCATCCTGTACTTGAGCTCTCCAAACAAATCTCCAGTAGTAAAATACTTCTGTAGTTGAATACTTCTTGTGTTTTAACTACAGAAGTTTCACTTACTAATGTAGTATATTTTACTGATTTGGTGCTCGTCACCCTTAATATAACATTTAATGTGAAGTGACAAATACAACAGTACAACAGCTGACCAGCTGATTTACAGCCAGTGCTGCCAACGTATTTCACGCGCATACTACGTTGCCTGCATGTTGCGCGCTCACTATTTCGTGCCTTCACGTTGCAAATCTGGAGTGAGACAAAGTAATTAGAGTGAGACAATGTTAACATTGTCTCACTGATGAGCGAATTGGCCACTTTGCTTTCTCAAATCAGTGAGAGAACATGAACATTGTTTGGTAACTGTAGGAAAAATGGTTTTGTTGGTCAAAAATTAGAACAACCCATTTTTTCCGCGTGAATCCCGATCCCATAGTCCGACACACTACACTTACACACACTTACTACACTTCTTATCTCTTAACTCCTAACTCTGTTTCACCTTCTTTTACTCTTATTAACCCTTAGAAATCTTATTCCTTATTTAATTTCTGATATGTAATATGAATAGAGCAGAGCATTTCATATTATTTTTTAAGTTTTTAAAATCTAATCCTAGCAAACCCCTAGTGTGCAAAACGCAAGCAAGCCTGTTTGACAGTATTAGCTATAAAATAAAATTAAGGAGGGTTACTCTCACACTTTTAACCAGCCTCCCTTCCATAAAAATTATCCTTTGAAAACAACTACTCTTTTGTGAGTGGTTTCATTCACTTAATACATGTTTCAGGCATCCACGCAGGCAAGACTGTTCCTATAGTAAAAGGTGGTGATGCTACGGTGATGGAGGAAAATGAGTTTTACGCCATAGAGACGTTTGGATCAACTGGTCGTGGTCAGGTCCATGATGATATGGAGGTGTCACACTATATGAAGAATTTTGACGCAGGCTTCATGCCTCTAAGGTACTAATTTTACGATATGTGTTGGTTATTCATCCATGTGATCTTTTATGGTTAAGTCGTTCCGATGTTGATTTAATAACTTCAATTCCCAAGTTGTACAGTGCATTGAATTGAGTTGGTGTTTATAGAGTTTCTATGGGGGAAAAGGAGGTTAATATAACAAAGAATTGCACAAAGTAACTTACGGATAGCCACATAAAATGTGGCATAGACAGAGGCCAAAGAACGGATTTTGTGTAGCATTCAAAGAAAGCAATACCACTCATAGTAAAAAAAAAATAGCTGACATTGTTCTAGTTGCTTCTACGAAAGGAATAATACTCTACCCGCAGCAAACCTGTAGAGTAAGCAAATTTATATTTGTCAGATATGCTTCTAAGTAAAATATATATTTAAGATTATCAGATTAAGTTAATTCTATAATAAAAAAAAATTTTAAACTAGTACCTTTGACTATAATAGTCAATGCTAGTACATAGGTTTACCGCAGTAGTGACATTAGTAAAGTAAGTTTTTTTTTTAATAAGGCTTGTATAAAATTAAAAAAAAAATGCTAAGTTTGATGAAAATATATCCATAAACAAGTAAACTACAAAAGTTTACCTATTCTATAAGGTTAATTTGGGAGTTTTAAATTTATGTATGTCTTTGTCTATTGATTTCCTCCAGAACTATTGAGCATACAGCAACGCTTTGATATACTAAATTATTTGACTTTTTCAGTAACTACAACATAGTTTCGGATGAGTTGAAAATCGGATGACTGTTGCCCGAGTTATTGTGCTAAAGGACTATGAATTCAAATAGGTAGATGGTGTTTTGGGCCTCTGGGGACTTAAAAAGTCCTTCAGTAATAGCTTATTCTCTATATGGGGAATTCAAATGCTAAAACATATAATTTTTGAAAGGTTTTGGGAGAGGCTTAACGTATCAATACAATTTTATCATAGGCTTTCAAATTTTTTGGACTGCACACAAAAAATACTTGCATATTTTCCTCTTTGTTAACTATTCCATTCAACTATTTATTATCCTAGTCAGGCTTAGTTATTCCTAATAATTGTTTTACTGTTTTAGGTTGAAATATTTAACCATTTCCTTATTTAACGTAAAAAGTGTACGGTTTGGAAAAGCTACCTATGTCTAATTTGTTTCCATACTTATTAAGAATAGAATGAGCACTTTAAGATATTCAAGGGCAATTTGGTTTACAACATCCTCCACATTAAGATAAAGTTTATTGAGCAGTAGGAGTCTTATCTCGCACTGCTAACTCCTTTTATTATTTTTTTGTAAAAAGACAATGCAATTAGTTTGTTCCCAAACATCTATTTTATTTTTCAGGTTACAGTCTTCAAAATCCCTCTTAGGGACAATCAACAACAACTTTGGAACTCTGGCATTTTGCAAGCGCTGGCTGGATCGTGCAGGGGCTACTAAATATCAGATGGCTTTGAAAGACCTCTGTGACAAAGGTAAGAAGGAGGGCTTCCATTTAAAACTTGTGTTTGTGTTTAGTTTCGGCCTTCCTCAGTACTGAAAATAGTCATTGAGAAATCAAGGGTTGATGATAAGTTGCGTTTTGGGTAAATTATTTGAGCTCTCAAAAGTAGAGGGAGATCATTTTACACATAAGGACGAGTAAATATATTAGTCTTTAAGTACCACAATGTGTTAGTACTAAGTCAAATTAGTTTAATTTATATATTAATTTTTTTATTACAATATTTTAAAACCTTTAGTTTTAATAGGGTTTTGTATCCTAATGTTCTAAATTCAAGGTCTGAAATATAATAAACAAACCACAAAACTTGGATTGTTCAATTAGCAATGTTTACAATTTTCTTAATAAACAACAATGAAAAATAAAAGACAGAAGGTAAAAATAAGCAATCTATTTTAATTGGTAATTTAATTCAAACAACAATCGCTATCCTAATCTGAATCGACTTGAACAGTTTGATGAATTGTAGGTTGAACTCATCTGAAACGGTTACTAGTATTGTTGCCAGTTTAACAATTTGGCTATATCCCGAAAACCAAGATTCTACTTATAAACGTGGAACCTTCTACAGTTTTAACTTGAATTAGGCCTAAGTATAAGAATAAAAATATTTTTTTCTCCCAGTAATACAAGTAGGTATTACAGTAATTAAATTACAAGATAATGCACAATACAATACATGAAAAATAGTTATTTGTGTAACTAGTGGGCAAAGTGGCACTTTGCTGCACACTAGAGCAATGTTTACGCACTAGCCGCAGGCGAGTGCGGAATGATCTTGAGTGCAGCAAAGGCCTTTTGCCCTCGTGTTACACATTATATTTTCCGTACAGTCACTATAAAGCATATAAATAATAAGTCTTTCAAACACTATAGGCCTACAACACGTTTTTTGGTTCAGCTGGCAACACAAATAGGTGCCCTAGAGAAAGTAGTACCCGGTCCGTATCACTCCGCTATTTTTCCTCGGCAAGAAATGTGCTCCGCGACTTGAGAATATAGTTCTGTATGTTTTTGTAATTTGAAGTGGTTTCCGCGCCAAAAAAAAATGCTTTAAAGTTAAAGGTATTTTCTTGTTTATTAAGACCGTAGGAATGTTTTAAAAACGTTTAAAAGAAAAGTCCAGAAATACCGAAACTATAAACACGAAATGACAGGTTAAATCATAGTTATAATAGTCAATCAGCTGCTCATAGTATTATTATCTTTAAGTGTTGCCAACTTATTTCCAAGCATACACGGATTACGTGCATAATAGAACCACGCTTTTTTGTGTTGTTTCGTTGGAATCCTGATGTGCGCCAAAGTATAAACCGTACGACAAAGTATAAATATGCAGCAATTAGCAGCTTTCTGTACTATAAACAGTACAAGGAAGCCAACTTTGTCGGGTGACTGTAGGAAAAATAAATTGATATAATATTCTTTTAAACTAAATGTCCCACGTGTCAGACTGACTTAGAAAAAAAACACTGGCTTAATCACAACAATATGTACATAATAAAAAAAACCTAAAAAATTCCCTCTAGTCAGAGAAATATAGGATATGACCTTAACAAAATTGCATTAAAACGTTTTATGGTTTTATTTTGTAGTATTGGATGTGCAAAGTGACTTACTAAATGTTGGACAAAATCAATCCACGGGAAACCCCCTAAAATTGTGATTTAGCGGCTTTTCCCAACATTGGATGAATTTTTAAAAGTTACCACATGCATTTTTATGAGAATTTTTTTTTAGAAATTTAGTTGGGACTACCACCGATATTTAATTGGTGGTAATCTGATCCCGTTCTCAGTTGAAAAACCTAACTAACTCATTACAACTAACCATACACAAATGCCCAACCTAAGTTGAAATACACTACAGAAAGTAGCAGTGAAAAAAATATGCACTGTATACTGTTGACTGCTACTCTCTGAAGTGTATTCCAACTTAGGTTGGAATTTGTATATTGTTATTTTGTAATTTGTTAGTTAAGTTCTTCACCCGAGGACGGGATCAGATTTCAGATCCCGAAACATTGTGTATTGTTTTTACCATTGTGATGGAAAGTGTCCGCAATAAACCTTAAAACACAACATTAACTCACCATCACCAACAATGAACTTCAAACAAAGAATAGATTTTTAGGCTGACTTCAGTTCTTTAAAATCTATTTTTTGTTTTGTAGATATACTAGGCGACCCGTACGAAGCATTTTGATGTAAAATGTAGTACATGATTTAAGTCTTGGCACTGCTAACAGTTAGTTAATTTTCCAGGCATCGTTGAGTCATACCCCCCTCTCTGTGACATCAAGGGCTGTTACACTGCGCAGTTTGAACATACCATTGTCCTACGTCCTACTTGTAAAGAAGTGATCAGCCGCGGAGACGACTACTGAACTGCTCAATTATGTTTTGATACGTTTAATACTGCAAGAGGTTGTTTTTTTTTTCTTATCCTATTTCTTGTTTCAATTTCGAATTTATTTGCACCTGCAAACAGTGTTTTTGGTCCCGAGTGTATCAACGAAGAATGTTATGGATATGCTTGATATGAATTTTACAAATACATGTTGTGAGGGTATTTTTAATAGTTGTGAATCGGTAAAAATTAAAGTTCACAAAATTAAACTCTCACAAAAGGGTTTGCTAATTCTAATGTTTTGTTGATTGGATTTTTGTTTCTTGATACACATTTGAATTGTTTTTATTTGCATGCTCCCTCTTTTATGGGGACAAGAAACAAATTTAAAAAACTAAACATAATATTACCCACAGATGTAAAAGTACTGCAGGGCATTACATCAAGAAATTTCTCAAATAAGACCATGGAAATTCTCCAGTATACATAAGTTATATGTATATAAAAAAAGTTATTAAAGATTTGTTTTAATAATGCCGAGTTGTTTGTTATTTCATTTAATTTCCACCTCAGTCATGTGACTCATAATGTAATGAATCCAAAATGTTTGCCAAGAATAATCAGAAGCTGGTGAAGCATTCAAGCCAGTTTTATCAGTTAATTCATGTAACCAACCAAATTAATAATAAATAATCTTATATAGGCTACTAAAAAACTTTTGCAAAACTTATGACAGCTAGCCTGACTATACCACTGGACCGAATTACACACGGTTGGTAACAAATAAAAGATATTTCCCTGTAGATGTGCCAAATCCCTTTATAAATTAAAATAGGCTAAAAAATAAGCCCAAAAAATGAATTTTAAAATTTTTAAATAAGTCGCATTTGTCAAACTACTTTTAGGCTTTTGTAAATTCATGAAGTTTGTAAAGTTACAAACATTAATCTCATACATACAACATTCAAAGTCCTTTCTCATTACAAGGTTTTGAAGCAGGCATTTTTATATTTTTCCTTTTTTTTAATGATTTTAATATCGTTTTACTAGTATTAAAACTCCCCCTCCTAAGGAACAGTTTCTTGTAAAAGAGCAATTTTGTATCCCTCAATACTCAGAAAGAGGATTTCAGATTCATTCATTTTATGCTCAGATAAGGCATATCTGGCTTTAATATTCTTCCAAGTTAATTCTTAAGATATTTAATCGTGATGACAGATATTGTACGTTTTGGTGAAATATTTTAAGATAAAGGTTTTATGGTTGAATGTTATTTGGAGGCTGCAATTACTGTATAGAGATCTAAGAACCTGAGAAATTTTTTATTTTGAATTGGTTTAACAATTTTGTAGTTGTACTTTTTAGCGAATTTCCCATATAGGGAATAAGCTATTACCGTAGTACTCATGGTAAGACCTGGACGCGGGACCAATTTTTTTTTTCGTTTTGAGGTCCCTAGAGGCCAAAAACACCATCCGTTCAAATTCATATATATATATATATATATATATATTTATATATTTATATATATATATATGTGTCCGTCAGCACGATAACTCGAGCAAAAATTATCCGATTTTGATGAAATTTGGTACAAACGTGTAAACCTACGTTTATTCGAACGAGTTCGCGATCCAGCATGATCGGACCATGGGAACGGGGGTTTACGGGGGGTTTTATGGGGTAAAAATAGGTTTTTCCCATTTTTGACACAAAAAACATAAAATTTAGCAATTTCTTTCCAAACCATTTTGTAGAGTTAAAAAAAACAAATAATTTAGTATATTGAAGCGTTATTATGCGCCTAATGGTTACGGAGAAAATTCCAAAAAATTGTAAATTTAAAATTCCCATGTTATTCTTATGGAGAATAAGTAAACTGTTTAGTTTACTTGTTTGTGAACATATTTTGATCGAATTTGGAAAATGTTTTCATTTCTTACTAACTATTCACATTTTACAAAAAAAAAAAAACAGTTTTACCCTCCCTGATGTAGCAAACCTAAGTACTTGTTAAACTAATTCTATTTAAATCAAGAATGAATGTTATATTTTTAAGTAGACATTTCAGTGTAAATCCAATCAGTCAAATGGAAATTCGCTTAGTCTGCAGGTTTGCTGCGGCGGGGGTATTTTAATATTTCAATTGGGTTTTTGTTGAGGAATGTGAAGTGTAACAATTGATTTTCTTTTCCTTACCATTGATATGTATAAAGTAATTTAATGCTGAACTAATTTCATTGTCATAGTAATCTAGTTTAAATCTGTAGACAAGCACATTTCACCAACACTAGATTGCCCGTGATTTTTTCACTACAGTACCAACAAACACAGCTTCATGCCTGCGCTTCTCGCGGCATTGTCCAATGGTGCAACAACTGAAGCCCGAGCTGAGGTAGATGGTAGACACGGCTGCCTTTATCCAGACCGCGGCCTTCGAAGTGGCAACGTCGCAAGTGGTGTTGTAACAGCTGTTTTGTTTGGAAGCAGCTAAAATGGTATTTGTGTATTTACGAAATATTGGTTACTGAACTACGACAATATTGACTCCGCTTATAATATACAGATAATATGGATTTTTCATTAATTGTTTCGGTTTTCAATTACGTATGTGTTATTTTAAATATTTTAATAAATTTATTTTCATAAATATTTAAATCAATAAAGTGCGAATTAATGAGCTGATGTCACTTCTCTGCCATATTATCTTATAGGACGTTTGACACTAACCAACACCACTTGCAACGTTGCCAATTCTACCAGGCCGCGGCCTGTAGTTAAAGGTGGCCGTGTAGTGGAGCGCACCATTAAAGGTGGCCGTGGATAAACTCTTGAGTTAGTCTTTCAACATAGATGTCAAAGCTACATGGAAACTAGAGTTGTTGAACAATTTTGCAAGTGCAGACGACTCAAACTTCTTCTTGCCACCTAATTAATTGCCTCCCTCAAAGCTCAATCAAAAACATAAACAATAACTAGGATAGGAGTCAGGATTCAGGAAGACAGTAAAGAGGAAAGGAAAGGAATCAGGAATAAGCAGAGCTAATCTCGAACCCACAAATTGTTAATCGTTTAATTCAATTCAAATAGTTAAAACTTTAAATGCAATATTTAAGTAAAGTAAATATCAAAGTTTCGTTAGCAATCGTTGAATAGTGCTGAAAATGTGATAAATCATTATACTTGTTCAGATCAAAAATCAACATGCATACTTAACCTCATTCTGTAGGCAGTAAGTGTAAGTATTTATCGTTTAATATTAATGATAAAATGAAAAATAAATGATTTTACATTGTTCAAGCTTCAATAGGCCTATTCCAAAACACTCACTACTGGTTGATCTTAATAGCGTTTTTAATTAGTGTTGGGTAGGCCTATCGATAGTCAATATAAATTATTGCAAATATCAATGTTTGGAGGCCGATAGTTGATGTTTTTACTATCGGTAGTTGTCTAGGTGCCGATATATTTTTAGTATTGATATTTTACTCCAATAAGTATTTTTGTTAATAGCGTATTTATTATATAATACATTTTCTTCCGATATTTACTTTTGGTATTTATTGCGACGAACGTGACCATTTCTAGCTGAAAATAACTTAATGGTGTAAAAATTTTTCGGCGCTCTCTAATATTAACGGAGTTACGGTTGTTTTAAGTTTTATTTACCGGTAGGGTACTTAGTTTTTTTGACCTTAGAACCTATTTTAAACCTATGAAATGTTCTCTCCAGATACTTGATATATTACGTTAATTGTAAGTAATTAAAGTAGAAGACTCACTTTTTACCAGGAAATAACAGTGCAAAAATGTCTCCGAGGCCACGAATATTAACTAAGGTAACTTAAGATAATTTGTCGTTTTGATTTCCTTTAAGTTAGGCCTACATATCTACCTTCTATTCTAGTCTGCTACTGCTTGCCGCATTAGGAATTACAGAACGGACTAACTGTTGCTTGTAGAACTATACTGAACCTGAAATGAAAATGAAAATACGAAACTGAAGATAAGAGAATAAAAATAAGACAATCAAGTCATTTCAAAGTACATGTGCTACAAACATCTAAGAAACAACACGGCACTGAATAACTTATTTCAGAATGATTTTATTTAGGCATGTGTGGAAGGCAAGTCGGGCTTATGCGGATTCGTGACTGTATTAAGTGTTTTGAAGTTAGGTTAGATTAGGAAGGTAAAGTGTAGATTATAGTGAACTGAGTTGATAATTTATATTACACACAGGCAGTTGTTGTGCAATTAAAATAGTGTGTTTAACACAATGAAATAACGATTTCAAAAATGCTGCAAGCATTGAGCAATGCTACAAGCGGGCATCTTGAACGCTTGCTTTTCATTAAATATTCAACCAGAGATTAGTAAAACTCGTCATAATCGACTCATCTCTATGGTGTTACTAGGGGTGTAAAAATACACTCTAATCAAAAAAATATTCTATTAACATTTATTGCTATTAGCTTTAATAAAAGTTGCAAGTTTGGAAAAAGATAATATGTTATGAAACTCAAAGTTTGGCAACAATAGTATTTCAAATGTATTCTAATTGGAGGCATATCCCATGTTTTGTAGGTTGGTAGGGAAATCTTAGGGAATTCTATCTATTCTATCTATCTTAGGGAATTCAAAGATAATGGAAATTAGGTTAGATTTTTCCTGAAATCAAGAAATATGTTTGTATCGTCCTATATGTAGGCTAGGTCACAGTGACCGGCAGGGTTAAAACTCAAACTTTATGTAACATAGGCTAGCCTAGATCCATAACATGGTTTTTACAGACAAAATAATTTTAAGTCATTTTATTTATAAGCCTGTGATAATAAGTCCTTTGCTGATGAACCCTTAAAAGTTATCAACATAATTGTTTTTACAGGTCACAAGCTGCATTACCTAATGAGTAGGCCATCTCAGTGTTAGGCCTACGTCTTATGTTTATTACGAGCCTTAAACAGGTAAAATTTGTGTATTATTACTTACTAGCAGAGTACCCGTCCTTCGTACGGGGTTGGAATATAAGTATAAAATGCTTATTGCACTTATACTCAAGCTTTGCGTTTGCAATAAGGGAGGACACAGTTTGATAAAATTTGCTTTTTTAAATTTACAGTATTCTATAGTATTACACATATACCATAGCCATAATGTTCTACCACTTCACCTAAACAATAGAGAAAAATAAATTATCAACAATTCGCAAGATATCACAAATTATTCATGAAATGAAAAACATAAACATAACTGTAAACAATCCTACTTTGACAGTTCTCATTGTGAATCACAGTTTTTTGTTGCTGCTTAGTTCAAATTAGCTGTTTTCATAAATACAAAAATAATTTTAGTTCTGCACCCTGTTGGTAAATCTTATAAATTTTTAATGCTTTTGTATATCATAGAACCAACTTTTTTAGTTGAAACAGCTGACTAAATTCTTTAATTCCCTTTACCATGCGGGAATGATGAATTAGCGCTCATGAATACTCATAAGGTTAACATGGGGAATTACAGAGCCACTGAGGCGGAGCCCGAAAGGATTTTTGAGATAAGAATATGCCTATATGTTAATCGGGAATGTAAGCTATCATCATGCCAAATTTCAGCCCAATCCGTCCAGTGGTTTATGCGTGATTTAACTTCAAACACACAAACAAACAAACACACAAACTTTCACATTTATAATATTAGTAAGATTATCATTACTAAGAAAAGACGTAATATATTTACTAGTAGGTAGACTGTTCAATGGCTGTTCCGATCAATGCATATGGTCTTAAGAGTTAAATCAAAAAGAGTCTCTTGCTAGGTCTTGTGTGTGTAGGGCAGAGTTTTGTTGGAAAGGCCTAGGTAGGTACTTAAAGTAAAAATTTGGACCTCTTGAATGAAAAGTGACAACCTTGATATAGTTTTCGTCAGTGCCGCATTTAGCCAAACGGCGTCCCTAGGCACACAAAACAGTTGCCCTGCCGTATTATTGGTCGCAAAGCGTAAATAATGTCACGATCATTATTATTGAGTTATATATACAATATAATCCGTTGATATTTTAAATAAATCAACTCCTGTAAAATGTATAACATTGTATTAAACTTCGCAGTAATTGGCATTTGACCTGTCCCTATACTAAACCTCTAATGAGATTAACTGAACAATGATAAATACTTTCCGTCAGAAAATCTTAATCTTGTAAAATGTAGGCCTAGAAGTGGAACATTTACAATAGCATATTGTTTTATTGTGTTGTACACAATAACACGTAAAATACCTTTCTGATGGACAACATTCATGTCCCGAAACATCATTTAAATTGTCGTTATCTAATTATTCCCCTATTTCATCATCTCTAAGCGAAATGCCGGCACGATTCAACAGTGTTTACTAACATAACAAAGCATATAAACAGAACGACTCAACAGGTAAGTTAACTGGAGAGAATTACACAGCTGAATTTTGGCAGCCGCTGCAGGGATGTCGTCGGGACCAGGCCTACCCAAAAACTAAATATCACACGCAAAAGAGCAGGTTATTCCTACTGAGCTATAATGATAACTGAAGTCACCACTCTGTGTTTAAAAAACGTACCACTGTTTTTGCTGGTTTTTTTTCAGGTTTCGTGTTATTAGATTGGTTGTGTGATCAGTTGGTGGGACTTGTCAAATTAGAGGCATCCTGTTGTTTTGTTGATAGTAAACCAAGTATGTCAACATTATGATTGCAATAAGTTTATTTATTTACTTTACGAGCAACCCATTTTAACAAGATCATAAATACAACAGCGATGGTTCAATAAAAGATAAGTAGGTGGGCCTGTAGGGCATTGACAAAAATAATTACACTAGGCGTAGTAAAAATAATTACCAGGAAACTTGACTATTTTCACCATTAATCATACAGTAGAACCTCTTTAATCCGAACCCCTGTAATCCGAACGTCCACTAATCCGAACGCCTCATTGCTGTACTCTATACACAGTACAGTAGTTCTTACTTGTATGTATACTGTATTTATTTATATACGCACCATAGTTATTTCAATTGTAATGTATAGTAGGCCTACTGTTTATTTCTTATGTTTAATACTGTATTGTATAAATTCTGTATTCTACTTTAAAAAGCACTTTTCACTTTTCCCTAGCTTTGTTATGTAAAAACAACAATATGTTCTGTAATCCGAACTATTCAATAAACCGAACTACCCCCGGTCCCAATTAGTTCGGATTAAAGAGGTTCTACTGTAGCTTGAAAATAAGTTAGCATAAAAACAATTCATAATGTTTCAAAATAACTTTAAATACCGTACACAAGTTTTAACATTCAATAACTTAAATAAGTTGAAGTCCATCAAATAACGGATAACCACAAATAAATAGCATGGATAGGTTAGAATGAATTGAATTTGGCAGCATCCCACCAACCGATCACAAGGCCAACCTAACAACACGAAACACCGAGAACAAACGAGCAAAAACAGTGGAACGTTTTTCTCTAATGTTCAACCAGAGAGTAGTGACTCCAGCTATAATCTATTTATCTCCATGGTTATTCCCAACACGGCGGCAGTACCAAACAATGCAATCTTCCTTCTTCTTTGATTTGCTTACTAAGCGCGGCAAATTCAAACTACACTCGGACGCGCCCGTGCATCAGTGGGTTGGAAGCAGGGCTACCGGTCTGTCAAGCGGGCGTACGTGGGATTCATTCAAGAGGTTAAAGTTTTGTGCCCCCTAAAATTTTGCGCCCCAGGCCTGGGCCTAGTGGGCCTAATGGGAAATGCGGTACTGGTTTTCGTTATCTTCCCTCGTTTAGCAAATTCCCCATATAAGGAATACTGTAAGCTATCACCCTAAGTAAGATGTATGGTAAGACCTAGACCCGGGACCAGTTTAATTTTTTGTTTAGAGGTCCCTAGAGGCCAATAACACTTCTCTGTTCAAATTCATACTCATTACTTAACAATAGTACCCTTTAAATTAATCTTATTAATCAACTCTAAAAGGTAACCAAAAGACCGCTGTAAATGAATGGACACTTGGCCATAGAATGTTTGTTTACAGTTATTCAAAATTGCCCAGTTCCAAACTAAATCAGCATACTGTTTCCAGACATCTATTTTACTTGTCATCATAATTCACGTAATCAAGTACAGTTCTCAGTTTTTTGGTCACCTGGAGGCCCTATAGTTTTTCTATTATTTTATATACAACAAAGTTTTCTCAACAACTGGTGGTTTGGATTTAAGGTGTGTTAATTAGCGGGATTTTAATTTCAATTGTGTACATGACAGCAAGAATCATTATGGTATTCTAGAGCTTGTAAATACTTTTAGAATATTGCAAATTTACTAATTGTTTAACATATTTAATAAATGTTTCTATATAAGTTATGATCGTTTTCAGAAGTGAAAAAAATCAACACGAGAACAGAAAGAAATTTAATTATAAATAAGAAGTTCAATCACAAGAAAACTAATTAAACATCCTTGATGTACTTGAAAGAAGTGCTTAAAATATTGTGTTTCCCATTTACAAATTAAATTCCTTTTGTTAAACTAGAATTTAAATGATATTGAAAATCTTTGTTGCAGGTTAAGACAGTGAAAGGAATCAAACGAAGAGATTATACTGATTATATAATTCAATAGAAGAATACAGAAAGATAAGAAAAATTTCCTCAAGTATATGGTAAAATACCTAATAATATGCATAGCAAGATTTGACTACATTAGATACGATACGATGTTATATGAGAGTGGTAGTCTATCATGTAGCGTAGCTGCTATACATTTTTAGAAGTCCTACAAAGAAGGTTACTATTTAATATACATACAAATCCCTTTCATAGCCTGATTTTTCTGATTAGTTACTATATTCATGTGATAAGTTTCACAGAGATGAAAAGTGCAAGAGTAGAAATGTTAACTCACACTAAAGATTTTCCTCTCAAGTGTCCAATATGTGAGAAAATTTGTTCAACTCAATCCAAAATGAAGGTTCATATATTGTATCACACGGGAGAGCGGCCCTTTAAATGTTTAACATGTCAGAAAACCTTTTTCCAAAAGGCAGAAGTAAAGAGCCATTTGTTAAAACACTTTGGGACGGGTCATTATAAGTGTAATGCATGTGAAAAATGCTTTACAGCCAAAAAATTAATGAAGAAACATTCATTAGTTCATACAGAAGAGAGACCTTATAAGTGCACTACATGTGGAAAATCCTTTGTCTCTAGAAACTTTATGAAGAGACATTCATGGGTTCATACAGGAGAGAGGCCTCATAAGTGCACTACATGTGACAAATCCTTTGTGTCTAACAGCGATATGAAGAGACATTCTTTGGTTCATACAGGAGAGAGACCTTATAAGTGCACTACATGTGGAAAATCCTTTAAAACCAATGACAACATGAAGACACATTCTTTAGTTCATACAGAAAGAAGACCTCATAAGTGTACTACATGTGACAGATCCTTTGTGTCTAACAGCGTTATGAAGAGACATTCTTTGGTTCATACAGAAAGAAGACCTCATAAGTGCACTACATGTGACAAATCCTTTGTCTCTAGCAACGTTATGAAGAGACATTCATGGGTTCATACAGGAGAGAGGCCTCATAAGTGCACTACATGTGACAAATCCTTTGTGTCTAACAGCGATATGAAGAGACATTCTTTGGTTCATACAGGAGAGAGACCTTATAAGTGCACTACATGTGGAAAATCCTTTAAAACCAATGACAACATGAAGACACATTCTTTAGTTCATACAGAAAGAAGACCTCATAAGTGCACTACATGTGACAGATCCTTTGTGTCTAACAGCATTATGAAGATACATTCTTTGGTTCACACAGGAGAGAGACCTCATAAGTGCACTACATGTGACAAATCCTTTGTGACTAACAGCGTTTTGAAGAGACATTCTTTGGTTCATACAGGAGAGAGACCTTATAAGTGCATTACATGTGGAAAATCCTTTACAACCAAAGACAAAATGAAAACACATTCTTTAGTTCATACAGGAGAGAGACTTAAGTGCACTACATGTGACAAATCCTTTGTGTCTAACAGCGTTATGAAGAGACATTCATTGGTTCATTCAGGAGAGAGACCTTATAAGTGCACTACATGCGGAAAATCCTTTGTGTCTAACAGTGTTATGAAGAGACATTCTTTGGTTCATACAAGAGAGAGACCTTATAAGTGCGCTACATGCGGAAAATCCTTTGCTTATAAAAGCGTTATGACGAAACATATTGCAATGGTTCATAGATGAGAGAGACCTTTTAAGTGCAAACCCTGTGGAAAACCCTTTGCTTCTAACAGCAATATGAAGAAACATATTGCAACGGTCCATACAGGATGGATATCTTTTAAATGCCTTACATTTGGAAAATTCTTAGCTTGTAACAGGGATAAGAAGACACATATTGCAATTGTTCATACAGGAGAGAGACCTTATAAGTAGTGTCCACATTCTGGAAAGTCAATTATAGTCATGGAAAAATATTCTGGTCATTGAAAGTCATGGAAATAGACAAACAGTCATGGAAATCCACAAGGATGGATGGATTTGAGGGGACTTTTCTATATGCTCTAGTCGGCCGTAACCCTGACTAATATTGTAGCATTTTTCAGGATTTTACACAAATGTACGACAATTCAATACATTACAGTTTTATTTGTTTACAAGCATCAAAATGAAAAAAAAAACGGTCCCGGGCCTAGGTCTTACAATGAGACCTATGGTAATAGCTACTAAATTCGCTAAAAGAAAGTGGAGAGAGAACTTTGCCAGCTATGGGGACGGAGGAGGCTGGGTTTTCTTTCTTCCTTCCTTATTTTGAACACCACCATGTATAAGCAAAATTTATTACTCAATTGTTATCTGTTAATACATATTTCAGTATTTTCTGTGAAATAACTTGTCTAGGCAGTATTATTTGTGTGTGTATGTTATATTATAATTTTCTAGTAAAATTCGTGAGTCATGTAAATCAATGGTAAATGGCCATGGAAATAAATAAAAAATTATCTGTAAACATCCTAATAAGTCCATTACATGTGGAAAATCCTTCACATCAAAATGCGCTATGTAGAGACATTTGTTGATTCATACAGGAGAGACAACGTACAAGTGCACTTCTTATGGACAATGGTTTGCATTTGTAAGCTTGGCACATATTAAAAGGGTTCATGTTAAAGTAAGGATGCATTGCACGACTTTCATTGATATAAATCAGTGTCACGACGTCTAAAATATAATTTTTGAGCTGTTTTACAACATCTAATCTATATATACAAAATTCAATGTATGTTTGTTTGTTTGTCCTTTATGGACTCCGAAACCGCTGGGCAGATTGTAATGAAACATTCATGCATTATTCAAGGTTGGTTTGTGTGAAGTTTGGTGCAGATCCGTCAGAAGGGCTCCGCCCTAAGTGGCTCTGGAGTTTCCCATGTTAACCTTATGAGTACTCATATTTAAATGGAATTCAAGAATCTGAACAGCTGGTTTAACTAAACAATTTGATTCTTTGATGTTCAATAGCATTAAAAAGTTATAGGTTTGCCAACAGGGTGCAGCACTATTTTTTTTTTTTTAATTTATGACATCGGCTAATTTGCATTCAAAAGGTGAGTGAGCGTAGCGAACGAACTTACAAAAGGACGTGATTGAGCCATGCGAACAAGCTCATCTTGAAAATTAACGAGCATTTGACATAAAACCACATTAGGACAGGACAACGTCCGTCGGGCCAGCTAGTATATAATATTTGACTGTTTGCACAACGTTCAAATCTCACCATGTCCAAAAGTACAGTAACTGCAATAAACATAGTCTTTCTACAAGCTCATATGGGATTGGTCGTCCAAAGCCGCAGCCTGTTTCACGATGTCCAATAGCTCAGCGCTGTCCCGAGCGCCTGCACACTATGAGTACTGTTTTACTATCTTAAGTGCGCACTAACCTAACCCAATCTTAACCTTGCTCCTTATGCAGGAGCTCTGGATGTCGTGCAACAACGCTGAGCTATTGGACGTCGTGCAACTGGCAGGGACTTTGGACGTGGTTAGTTTTTAAGAGTATAAAGTGCGCTGTCTCACAACAACCGAAGTTTGTTAGTTTAGAAAAACTGTTTCTAGCAGTTATAGTACTTTTGGACATGATGAGATTTGGACACAACAGTCAAATAGTTTTATTGGACATCATGAGACAGCTCAAAATGACACCGACTTATATCATTGGATGTCATGCAACTCTTCCTAAAGTAAGACCTTAAAAATAATAAAACCAAATGAGGGTATATTAAGGTAAAAATTGTTAAAATCTGTTTTTAAGTAATGATTTTAATAAAAACTATTTTGAACAAACATAGGCTACTATTTTATTTTAACAAAATATCCAAATGCTACAATGAAAACTTTTTTATCAACAGTTGTATACTAATAACTTGTGTGTTTTAGCATAAAGATTAAGCATACTCCCTTAAGGGAGTATGCTTAATCGGCTTAAGAGTCTTCAGTAGTGGAAGCCATGTTTGATTTTTTCCCATAAGAACAATGTTAGCTTTGGGTCCCAATATCTCATCAGCAAATTGTCATAAAATTATGGATAAGGAGTTAAATTTAAGGTATTGCAGTCCTCTAGAGACTGAAGTTTTTAATTTTACAATTTTTACATTTTATAATGAATAATTGATTATTAATTAGGTTAAAATTCAACTGGTTAGGTTAAATCCAAGCGTTAACTAAATGGGAAACGCTGCACCAGCTGATTGTAGTTGTAGTATCTTCAAGTGTTGCCAACTTATTTTCAAGCGTACACGGATTACTTGCACAATAAAAGCACGCTGTTTTGTGTTGTTTGGTTGGAATACTGGTGTGCGGCAAAAGTAAGTAAATGCAGCAATTAGCAACTTTCTGTACTATTCAGTGTAACGAAACCCGCTTTGTCAGGTGACAGTAGGAAAAATTATTTCTTATATAGATATTTATCAATAAATAAAATGTTACCTATTGTGTCTAATTACACAAAACCTACCTTGAGACACTTTTGACAGTAAGAGGTTATAAAATAGGTTTACAAAAAAATGCTTGGGGAAATAGTTTGCAACACCTTTTGTAATAGTTAACAGCAATCTTTATTTTGAAATCTACAAATTATCAGTATTTACATAGAGAGATGGTTCCTCTTAGCTACAAAATTAAATGGTGATGAAGAATCTGAAACATAAAAAAATAACTTTTATCTTACAAAATAAACCATACAGTTAGTTAATAATTAGGGATGAGATATTTTGCTGTCAGATTCTTTGGTCAGGAACTCAAACCTTTTTTTAATTGGAAATGCTGCCAGGGCTGGGACAAAAATGATAGTATCTGTGCATAGATGATAGTAGTTGTTGTGTTTGTGCCTGTTTGGACTCTTTATCATTCAGGTAAGCCAAGCAGCCATACAAAATCCTTCAAACCTATGTACAACTCATGACATCTAAGCTGGCATTTGGCCGGTCGATACTAGTAACTATTTCAAAAATATTATGTCCCTTGATGCGGGTTACATCAACTATCCTCGCGACCCATATGAAGGCGCTCAAGTACATAATGCAAGGGGAGTCAACCCCGTGAGGCAGCGGAAATGTTTGCAGTCTGGTCTTTTCCCTACCTCCACCCTCCTCCCGCCTACACTGCCTGCGCTAGGCCAAATGCCAGCTTAGATGTCACGAGCTTACTTGTGCTCTATGTAAATACTT